CGGCGCCCGCCGCCTCCCCGCGCTCCGCCACCTTGCGCCGCAGCAGGCTGTTGAGCCCCGGGAGGCTGTCGGCGCCCGCGTGCGTCACCAGCACGGCGTCCACTCGGTCCAGGTGCCTCACCAGCTTCCAGAAGCTGGACTTGGGGTTCGAGCCGCCGTTGACCAGCACGGTGAAGCCGTTGACGGCGAAGAAGGCGGCGTCCCCGAGCCCTCCGGGGAAGACGTAGCAGCAGGGCGCCGTGAGCCGCAGGAAGCCCCCGAAGGACGGGGGCTCCAGCAGGTCGAAGGGGGACGGCGGCTCCAGGGACTCGGCCAGGTACTCCAGGAACTCGCGCAGGCCCTCGGACGCCGGCAGGCGCGCCGGCGGGTTCAGCCGGAGCCGCAGACCCGGCAGCTCCGGCGACAGCTGTGCCCAGTCCCCGAAGGTGGGGCAGGTAATGGTCAGGGAGGTCGTGGGGGAGGCCGCCAGGGCGTCCAGGACCTGCAGATCGGCGAGTGGGCAGCACCCTGACCAGACCTGGCCGTGAAGTCCTTCCCCGCTCCTTGGACAAGCCACTGCCGAGGTTCCCACCTCCTCCTCTGTCCCCCGGTGCCCCAGGGCCCTGGGCTTGGGGCTCACCTCCCTCCACCCCTGTGAGCTCCCACAGGGGACAAGGCCAGTGCCCACACCCAGGCCCAGCGACGTCGGAAGGACCTGCCTCCCACCCCGCTGCGGGACACGAGGCACCAGGACTCACTGGAGGAGGACAGCAAGACACCAGCTTACCTCTTTGTCCCCCAGGACCTGGAGAAAGTGATGGGGGGAAAAGCCCCCCGTCTGGAGCAGCAGGTCCCCGGTGTCCTCCAGGCAGGGTCCGGCCAGCACCAGCAGCTTGTGAGGAGCCGGGTCCAGCAGGAGGTTCCGGAGCTGGGGACAGCAGAGTCCTCTGCCACAAGGCGCCAGCCCACCATCCCATGACGCCCCCTGCACCCCGCCAGCAGGGCCCCGTGCCTCGGCAGAGTCTTTCTCCTCCCACCTGTCCTGCCCCAACACCTCCTTCTCCGGGAAGCCCTCTTGATGCTTTCGGGCCTCCAGGCCCTCTTTTTTTATGGAGCCCAGCCCTCCCATCACAGGTCTCACCCGAGAGCTCCACCCCACCAGAAAGAAACTTCACTGTTTAGGTTCTCCTCAGTCCCATAGCACTTTCCATCCTCCTGCCTCCATCCCTCCAGTGCTGGGTTAAAGGGGTCACTCTACAGGGGTCATCACACTACAACGCCTCACTCAGAAGGAAGCATCTCTGACCTATGGAATCCATGTGCAAAGAAGGGTTCTGCAGGCCAGAAGCCAGTGGCTAATGCCTAGCTACTCAGGAGGTTGAGATATGAAGGTCACAGTTCAAAGCCAGACCAGGCCAGAAAGTCCATGAGACTCTTACCTCCCATGAACCACCAGAAAACCAGAAATGGTTGCTGTGGCTCAAAACGGTAGAGCACATGAGCAAAAAACCTCAGGGACAGTGTCAGGCCCTGAATTCAAGCCTGACTGACAAATAAGGGTCTCTATTAGGGTGTCCCTTGTGCTCTGTCCTGTCAGATGCAAAATTCAGAGAAAGGAGCACAAGCTAGGAGACCTGCTCTAGTGGCCCAGGTAAGTCAGACTCTGAGGAAGGGAACTCAAGATAACATCGCAGGGTCTGGCCAGCCTCCCACTAAGCAGGACACCAACCCCCCTCCCTCCCAGACCACCCCACTGAGATGGTGGGGGCCATGGGGCCAGGTCCTGGGCTTCTGGGGGGCTTCCTACCTCATCGCACAGGGACCGGTCCGATGGGTTTAGGAGGACCAGCGTCTCCAAAGTCTCTCCGCGGTGGTGCAGGCTCCGCTGGCCTGTGGGTGACGGGGCCAAGCCACCGCTCAGGGTCACGCTGTCTTCTGTGTGACCCTTGGGTACCACACCCTCAGGAAACCCACCCAGGGGTCACTGGGCACCAGGTGTAGTGGGTGGGGGTGAGAACTGGAAACCCGAACGACCTGTAGGCCTCACTCAGAAGCGCCAGTAAGCAGAGGCTGGGCCTGATCTGCAGCAGGAGCCCTGAGGGGGCCACTGTCACCTCCATCCTACAGACAAGGAACCCGAGTCCGAGAAGGGCCGACGGCACCCAAGGGTGGACAACCGGAAGGGAAAGAGCTGCTAGCGGTGTGGGGCCGCCCGCCTGGGAAGGGCCTGTAGGGAAGCCTGGACTGCGGGGAAGGGGCTGTGGGTGTGGCCTGACCCGGGAGGGCGTGGCCTGACCCGGGAGGGTGTGGCCTGACCCGGGAGGGCGTGGCCAGTGTGTGGTGGGGTGGCGTTCAAGGGGAGTGGCCAGTACAGGGGCGTGGTGTTGCCAGTGGGGCTGCATTCAAGGGGAGGGGCCAGCACAAGGGCGTGGCCTGCGATGGGGGTGTCCTCACGGGGGCGGGGCTATGAGTGGCACAGTCCAACCAGGTGGGGAGAGGCGCAGGCTGGGGGCG